CAGTACAAGTAGAGTTTAAATTTTAAAGCTGACTATAACAATGAACCAGATGATTAACTTAATGTCATGTACAGACCTTAATTTGCAAGACAAGAAATACAGTCCTTAGTAGTCAATTAAGATAGATTTTCACGAGCGTCAATGGTGCAGAATCGTAACTTGATGGAGCCAACAGTGGACAACATCCCAGAATTCAAATTTGTGATTTTTTTCTCGGCTTAAACGCTAAGTCAGTTGTTCAATTGAATAGGAGAAAAACATTTCGAACGGAAAACAGAATTATTTGCACGTGTGGATCTTTTGAGAAAAGGTCTCCTAAACGAGTGGTCTTGATTATAAATATTTAAGGAATGGTAAATACATAAGCCTTAACATGGCTGTTTCTCGAAGCTCAGTGTTTTCCTACTTGCCTTTTTTCCACGTGAGTTGGGGGGCGATTGAATAGATATAATATGCAGTAAAAGAAGTTCTGCTGATAGAAATTTTAAATTTCTCATCTTAGGTTGTGGATACAAAATTCAAGTGAAAAGGAAGCCAACTGTGATTAGTGCTTTGAACAAGTCAAGATACGTTTTTTTCGTCACACAACAAGTTACATAACGTTAATATCATTCTTCTTGATGCCTTTCCCGGTGTCACCAATGCCTTTCCCGATGCCTCCGTTGGTTAATAGAGCATTAAAAGTATTGTTCCAGTTAAAGCTTGAGGAAAATTGCTTAACTTTTTAAGTAGCGAAGTGTAACTTGGTAACATTTCGGCTTTACAACACGATTGTTTTCTGCAACTACAAAACGTACATTTAATTCTTCTTGGTACCTTTCGGATGCCACCGATGCCTTCATTGTTTATTAAAGCAGTAAAAGATTTATGTACAATCAACACTTTTGAATTGCTTAACATTTTATTTAGCGAAGTAAACTGTTTACACTTCGGCTTTACAACACGATTGTTTCCTGATACTACAAATGATCTGTCTATATATGAGGTATTAAAGTTGTTTCACCGCTGACCACTCGTATTTGGGTCGTTTTTTCTCTCCCCGCTCGTCGCCCGTGATGTAGTAACTCCCGGCGCGGATTAGTGTGGAACAATTTCTTTTCATTTCTCGTCTCCTTGGTTGCTTTGGTGTTTAATTCACCATGACACTCACTCCTAAAGAATTGTCCTCACTTTTGAGGTAGGTTATTTCTCGTTTATTTCATGATATTGAAAGCAAACTTGTAAACTTCTTATTATGATGTGAGGTTGTGAGCTTGATTCTATGTCTGGTTAAGTGTATCAAATTATTAAACGATCACAGCTTATTCACAAGGGACCTCGGTAAAATTTCCGCACAGCCCCATACTACATTATGCATTCAGTTCTTGGATAGAGAAAAGAACGACAAAAACAATACATTGCCATTAGGACAACAGATTTGTCTAACAACAGTATGGGGCTGTGCGGAAATTTTACCGGGACCTCAAGTAATGGACACAGAGAGAAAAAAAGCATCTCAAGCCTTATCTGTGTGTTTTAAGAATATTTAGTTGGAGTGATTTCATTGTTAAGTAATGTTCTTGTGAAGTCTCATGATCATCAACAGAATTTACAACTGCAATACAGCTGCAGTGACTTGAACAAATCTTTAACCCTTTGACTCCCATGAGTGCCCAAGACAGAATTCCTCCTTACCATATCAAGGCAATATCAACTAGATAGGTGATGAGAATCAAGAAAAATATCAATTTAGGAATAATTTGTTGATTCAATACTAAATTCTCTGAAGTAGCATTTTAAGAATTGTACGGTTGACAGTAAGGAGAATTACAAATTTGATCAGGGAATTAAAGGGTTTAACTGTGCCCTTCATGTATTGTTTTGTTTATCTCTTAGTATCCTCGCTGAAGATTCCCTTGCTGCATCTTCCTTTGAAGCGATTGCTTCCTCCTTACACCAGAGATTTAACAAAAATGAACATTTCCAAATTGGGAGTGCAATGGTATGTGCAGCACAATAACATTTACCTCTTAAGTTCTCATCTGTACAGTACATGTAATGAATTATGTGTCAGTTTTAGAGTTTTTTGGTGCTACTTGAATTGAGACTGAGATCTACATGTAAAAATTGGATAGCAAAGGGAAACTCCTAATCCCATTTTATAAACAAAGTTTAGGAAAAAAGCACACACACAGTGACTGTTAACACAACACAATGCCTTGGCCAATTCCACAGTCTAACACAATAACCACCAGGGTAACAATTTTCTTCTGTGGTCCATGTGGTTGGCTTTGGTTATCTTGGGCCACAAAATCCTATAAATTATTAGATATGATAGCAGAAGATTATGAAATTTGAATAACACATACACACATGTGTAGCATCATTATAACATTTTTTGTTGTCCAATTGTTTACAGCTTATGCTCTTACAACAACCTGACTTACTGCCATTAAACATCCAAAGAATTGTAGTCCTGTTTTTGTTGTACGAAATGTATAAAGTGGAGCCCATAGCTAATAACCCTTTTGCGTCTGTGTTTGTCCATGTTCTGGTGAGTATGCCATGCATCCAGTTGTGTAGATTATTTATGGTAACAAGACTTTGTGTCATCCAATTCTGTCTGTAATCATGCTCATGATTTACAAATTGGACTCCTACTTTGCATTTATCAGATTTTGTTTATCACCGATATGATTACAGACAGAATTGGACTCTTCTTGGTCCTATTACTGTCATAAAATTATGCTTTGCTCTTGTTCAATTTGTAAATCAAGAGTATCATTGCAGACAGAATTGGACAGCACAAAGTCCTGTCACCAATTAATCAAAACTCTGACAAAATTTGCTAAAGAAACTACACACTGGTTGTGTTTTCATAGAGAAAAAAGTTAACTTGGCAAAATGCAAGACAACAGCTCATACATGACATGTTCTTTCCAGTTACACAGGAATGATGTGTTAACTGTTTGTTCAGCTATCCTAATGCACTGTGGAATTATGAGCATGAAGTATATGCTGTCCTAGTTGTGCCCTGGTGATAGCCAATCACATTCAAGAATTTCGTTATAGTTTTGATTAAACCTTTAAGTACATTTACATTTAATTTCTCCTTACAGTATCACCCCTGAATCACATATTAGGGTTGTAAGAATAAAGGAAATTGATGGTACAATAAAGTGACGTCCATCTTTTGTGGTGTCATGGAGGTGCCCAGATCAGATTTTACACAAACCAGTGGAGAACAAACTGTTTGATTAATTTATTTGGTTATTCAAATGTTAACAACATGAAAGGCTTGTATTTTCATTTTACTTTTTTTTCAATGGCAAATTGATGAGTCCTTTGATCCCCAAGAGTTACTAGAATCTAATTTCTCCTTACAGAATCAAACAGTAGGGTCACAAGGACAAAGGAAATAATCACCTTGATTGTTTAACAAATTCTTCTAGTCAGCACCTTAGGAAATTTATGGAGAACAGCTTGGAGAATAAGCATACTAATGTTAGGGTGAAGATAGGATTAAGGTGGTAAATAGGTCAAAAACATGTTTACAAGTAGTTTTTTCATTTATTTGTTATTGACTTTTAGAGTTCAAATGATGAAAACAAGATCAGTGGTCTTGAATCACTACCAGCACTGGGTTCAGCTGAGAAATCTTTCTTGTATCTTCTCATCACCACTCCATCAAGAGATGTGAGTATTAAGCAAACTTTAAGTAACATGAAAATTGTGTAATGTAAACATTCTTTTGCAGACTTTGCATATACAGTTGTCCTTAATCCTTGATCTGCCTGCTGTGTTTGGCAGGTGGTTGATGTAGAAGGGTAGCCATTAGTAGAATTTCAGCGGTATTTTCCATTACAGTGCTCATCATTACTTTTCAAATCCAGTTGCCTGTAACTGAATACCAAAGAAATACGAAAGCTTGTACCGAGAGATGTATGGTAATAGAATGATATAGATGTTAGATCTACATAAACAATAATTTTTAACTGGAAAGCTGCCAAGGACTTTGTTGGTTTTTTCCTTTTTTCAGCTTCTAAAGAAAAATCCCCGTCAAGTTTTAGCATTCGACTTTCCTGGGGGAGGGCAGGTAAGATATGATTTGGAATGCAAAATTATGTACTTTTACATATGAAGGGTTAATGTCTGTACTGTAAGTTATTTTCTGAGTTTTTTCTTTTTGGCCTGGATTTATGGCCCTAATCATAAAATATCTGGGCAGGAAAAATGGGTATCTGTAACCTACAGTACAGAACAAGAAAAAAAGGGTAGTAAGATATTCATGAAATATCTGGAGGCAAACAGAGGGAAAAGATTTCAATTCAAAGAGACTTTTGAATATAGTGGGCTGTACATTGAAATACAGTCCACCAAATTTGCAATCATAGTGTGCACAGTAACAAAGATCTATGATAAAGTACAGTTAGAGAGAACTGCACTTGGGTGGTCCAAAGAATTCATGCACATTCATACAATGTATTTGTAAGTATTTTGGGGCTGTTACAGTTTTTCTGCTTTATCTTTCTGGTAGCTTCACAAGTGGTTGTGGGATGTAAGTGGTCTAAATTTCAGTTATGGAAGATAATGTTTGGATAGCAGTATATCACTATTTATGCATTTCTCTCCAGAACATTGATCTTAGTTCCCTGCAGTTGGCTCTGACAGAGAAAAATTCTCAGTTGCCTGACTTGAGCTGCTGTGGACTGCCAGCAGTACTGGCTGATGCTGACCCAGATGTCAGGTAATTACATAAAATACAATGAAACCTGTCTTATCTGGATCTCCTGATATGTTAAGCAGATGTTATTAGCCTTATTACAAATGTCTTCTTCTATATATAATGTAAAATTAGGCTGTATTCATTAGACACCTCTACTGAATAGAGATAGACACAAAAACATTATTCAATTGACAGATTATGGAGAAATTAGAGTTTCAATTTTATCCAGTTGCATTGTAAGATTGTATATTTGTTACTTTTTAAATGTGTTTCCAGTAATTGATTTTATTCTGTCTCTGCAGAGCAGCCAATTCTAAAGGTTGCTTATCATATAATTTTTTGTATTTACTTCTTTTGTTCAATTTTCTAAACCTGTGATCTGCAAACACTGTAATAAGCAGGCAGTCAGCAAGAGACTAATGGACCTCTGCTTGATGCCAATTTTGTTGTAAATATTTAAATTGAACTTGGAGCTGAGAGATGAGCTATTTGAAGTGTGTTTCTATTGATTTTTTTTCCATGTCTCAATAAAACATCTTGTGGAGGATAAAGACCTTTTGGTTTTCAATCAAGCAGAGATGTTAACCATTTTCCACCCATGTGGGATGAAGAAAAGTATTATTTCTCAGAGAGGAAGCATAAATTACTGTTTTAAGAGTGGGTTGCTTACAAAGGAGGGGAAAAATGGGCTAAATAAGAATTCTTTTACATTGTATTCCTGTAATTACAAACCACTTTAACTTAAACCTGACTTTTGTTCATTTTAACAGTTCAGGGTTTGATTCTACAGCAGCTTCACAAATCACTGAGACTCTTGTCACAGGTGAGCTAAAGAAACCAACTGTTTGTTTCAAAGCCATACAAAGAGGTGAAATTTCTAAGTTTGTTTTCTCTGAGGTGGGATTTACTTCAGTCTGTGTCATTCTTAAAAATGTCAGTCTGGGAATTCTTCATTCAAGCTTCATTGTGGTTGGTAGTTTTGTGTGAGCTTTGAAGAGAAGCATAGCCAGTGTGTTTCCCTTGTGGCCAGTGTCCGATTTTTCCAAGGCCTTTACCGGTCAAACCCTCAAAGTGCTTACAAATTGTACCCCATTACATGACTTATCAAACAGAGTTTAGAATTCTCATTAGTTTTTTTGTTATATATTTTTATATTTTTACTCTTGTGCAACATATCTCTGCTTGAAAATTGTTTGGCATAGTGTTAGTCAAATTAAGCCAAACAGAGGTTTGATTTATGTATAGCAGCACATTTTGAGTTGCTTTCTCAGAAGTTTGTGTCCTTTTTCCTTCATTCTGCATTTGATCTCCATTTAACAGGGCTGAATCCACCATCTGAGTTAAATCTGAGACCAGTGTTTGCCAGAATACCACCTCCACTGTACTCCTGTGATGACGAGGTACAGCACTCGTGACATCAAACATTTATCATGACATAGCTAGTGAATTCATGCAATCAAACTCAACTCTGCAAGGGTGTTTCATATTCCCATCGTGCGCAGTGGAGATGTCCATTCACACACGCATCCCCTTATTAACACACCCTGAAAACCACAGACCTCACCCTAAACTGTTCAGGTTATTGTCCTTGCTATTGGAAGACGCAGTACAGAAGAATCCATTGGCATGTAGCTCTCAGTTGGAAGTAGCACCCAACTAGTTCTTTAACCCTTTAACTCCCAAGATCAGATGGTTAATTCTCCACTGTAGCTGCTGCACAATTCTGTTTAAAATAGTTACAAGAATTTGGTGTTAAATCAAGATTACAATTTCTACCAGATGAGTTTCAGTATTCTCATTACCTTTTTACTGGATGTTGTTTGGATGTGAAAGGGAGAGGTTACATGTTAGTCACTTCTGGAAGTTAAAGGGTTTAACAGCAGCTTTAGGCCTCACTTGAACTTCAACATATCTTTAAAAATGCTACAGCAGTACAACATGTTCAGATTCTGCAAAAATCTGAAAGAGAGTTTTTTTATTCAAACTATATTTGATTATTATTTATTATTGGTTTGTAGCTTGTATGGATGAACCCTACTGGAGAAGTGCATACTGTTGAGTGGGACAGTACCATGTGTGTAACAAACAGCGCTGGTCAGTAAGTCAGTGTTTTGAACAGCTCATTTGGGAAACTGGGTCGAGTGCGTAAAGTCAAGACTAACCAAATTTGGAAAGACGATTGCCGAATATTTAAACTTACTTTTTTTGTTTACCTATGATTCAAACCATTCAGAGAGAGTTGGTTGCTTTTCTTTTTATGTACTTTAAGTAGCTTCGACAACTTATGTTTCCGTTGGCTTTGCTACTTTCGCTCCTCTACATATTCAGTGAAAGCTACCATGTAGTCTTGATTGGTGCTGAATACTACAAATATAATCTTTACATCTCCTTTGAATGTTTATAAGTAAGAGCTACATAGCAAATGAATATTTATGGTCCAATTTTTTTATCCCTATTATTATCTCGTAAGGTGCCGAAGTTCGTCGTTTGATGAACAAAGCTTTCAAGGCTCCTCTGGTCATGCAACAACAACAGGTGAAGAACGCTTGTCAAACATTCTTATAACTGTTCATTGCTTAAAGAAAACTCACACTACTGCGGCCATTTTGAAACATTCCCATCTTTGTTTATCGCTGTGGGTGTCTCTTCCCGGGTAACAGTGAGAACTAATTTTGTTCCAGTGCTTGTCTGTCATATGAAATGCCCTTATTTGCGAAGGACACGTTGCGGGATTTTACGTTTAAGTGACTTTAAAAGTGTAACACTCTGTCGATATGAAAATACATTTTAGTAACACAACTCGTCCAATTTTCTCGCTGATCGAGTACAAATTTTAGTGCGAGACGTACGCCAAAGTTTAGTTGAAGCTGTTTTCTTTTTCATTTAGCAAGTCCTAAGTGAACTCGAAAAAGATCCGAAGCTCGTATATCACGTGGGGCTTACTCCAAATAAGGTAATGTGGACGTGGACTTGATTCTAATAAGGTAACTCGGAACATTTTAGCATGGGAGTTGTTTTTATGAAGTAATGTGTCAAGGAAGAAATTGCTGTGCAAAAAATATTTTGTGCCTTTTTAAAGGACTCTCTGTAATTAAATTTTCAAGCTTAACCTTTCTACTCACGCCATAACCGGTGCTTAAAACTTCGCCGCTTTTCAGCTTTTCCAAAAATCTGTCAATTTACTACAATGTTGCATTGGTTTCACACATGAGCCCACAACGTTCGTGGCATGCGAAGCCCTTTTTCAGCTCTGTCTCCTGTTACCAGTATTTACATGCTTGATTGTATTTTGTAGCTTCCTGATCTTGTGGAGAATAATCCACTGATTGCCATTGAAGTCCTACTGAAGTTAATGCAGTCCAATCAAATAACAGAGTAAGTAGCCACTCGTCGTTGGTGGAAAGTTAAGTCGATTCAAAGCCAAGTTTTTGCCAGGAAATACAGGTTATGTATCACGGTAGTTTGGAGATTTGCAAGTTCTTTGGTAGCAATCAATAACCTCAAGGTTAGTGAATGCTAAGTGAACCCAGGATTAGGGAACGACTTCACCATCAAGTCCGCGTTCTCCAAACCAGCCTTAAAAGACCGGTATGCCCCAGAAACCATAACGCTCACTCCTGACATATCGAGCTGAACACGAGAAGAGAAATTTCATATCTACGAACAACCATGTATTAGTTTGTTAATTATATCAATACCATAGGCCCTTACTGACAAAATAGGCGACTCAGTGAAGGAATGAGAACGGATTGAGGATGGCGAACAGTGTGCCATTCATAAATAATCTGATAGAGTAGTGCGAAAGGCGAGCGAGGTATCAACGGCTAATTGCCTTTTCTCAGAAATAATAAGTTTATGCGATTCCTCAGAGTAACTTTGCTTTTCTAAAATTGTCCCGAAATGGGTTTAAAATTTCGACCGTAGATGCTGCCTTTATAGAATCACTTAATGACTTGGCTGTCTTAGTTTGACGATTCAGAATTCGACGCAAATGGCAGGAACTAAAAATCTTTCTGTTGTAATCAGGTATTTCTCCGTGTTGGTGAACATGGAGATGTCTCTGCATTCAATGGAGGTCGTCAACAGACTAACAACGGTAAGTAGATATAAGAGAAATTTTCAACTTTGAGTGTCGAATGTAATCCGGGATTGTTTTGGTTTTGCTTTCCCTCTGTGATTGGTCCAAAAAACTCGCGCCACTCTTTCAACCAATCGGATTCAAAACTAACACAAAGCACGTTTTCCCGAGCTTTAGGTAGTTTGGTTGTTTTCACTTAAGATAGTAAGATAATCTTTAAGGACAAATTTGCGAACGAAAATATTTTATGTATTATAATACAGCTTAGTTCTTGTTGCTTGGTTTTTTTCAGGCCGTGGATCTTCCTCAAGAGTTTGTTCATCTTTACATCTCGAACTGTATTTCCACCTGTGAAAATATTAAAGATAAATATATGCAGAATAGACTTGTCAGACTGGTATGTCGGCACTTATTTATGTGCATATCAAAGATGAGTAGACAAACTTGCTACTCAACTCCATATTCATAACCGCTCAGCTCACTTCTGTATGTTTCTATCACGTGTCTTAGATGCTTTAAATAACATTATTTTTTAGTTGTAGTATTGCGGTGTAGTTCGTGTCCTTAATCAGCTAGACAGTGCTTCAATACTTAATAGAGCATATTAAGACGGTCGTGCCTGTTTCTCCAAATGACACTTAATTAGTCATCGTTGTTACGGACACTTTGTTTTTTCCCCTTCAGTGTCCGTTTAAGAGAAGTTGGACCTTGAATGCCAAGCTTTCTCATCTTCCTTTTCCTTGCAGGTTTGTGTTTTTCTTCAGTCTCTGATTCGTAACAAGATTATAGACGTAAAGGTGGGTAAATAATCAAGGACTATAAATAAAATAAAGAGAATTTGATTAGAAAGAAGAATGGCCAACAAAGAAAGTCTCTAATCTAAACTGCCCTTACTTTTGTTAAGTCTGGCGTAGTGAAGTTTTGCTTGCAGTTCTCCAATGAATGAGACAATCTCACGCTCCTGGAAGGTCATCGTGTGACACCACCTGCCGTTATTGGATCGTTGTTCAGCGGGGATTACAATTAATCCTGATGGCGTCTTTGCCTTAATGAGTAAATGAGACCCACAGGAACCCAAAAAATTCATTGAAATGTCGGCGAGTGTCAACCATGTCACTTCCGAAACAATCTCTATTTCCTAATTTCATTACACCGCCCTCTATGAGACCACTCGTATGTCAAATGATGTTAATTTCGGATTCGACTATGTTACCTTAAAAGGTGGTGTTAACAAAAGAAGAATCATCTCATTTCTATACAAAACTTTATTAGTTAGGGAGATAAAGCTCTGGGAATAATTTCAGGTACTCAAACTCATGACTGTCCGGTGATCTAAAGGCAGTGCTCTAACCGACTGAGCTATCAAGCCAACTGAGAGCTCGACATTTATGAAGGGCGGATTACTTCAAAATAAGTCATTTGAACTTTGGAATTAAGATTTTACCCGAAGAGCGATCATCACATCTAGAGACACAAGTAGTTTTGAGTGAAGATGGGTTGATTAGGGTCTGAAAGATACTCGAATAAATGATTAGAAAGCAACAGGCGTGTTGCGTGTTTCGTTAGTAAACGAAACTCGATAGCAGCGCTGAGATAGACATGGGACCCCTCCCCCTTTGAATAGCTCAGTCATTTGATATAGCCTCTGTTACTAGCTAAAGATCCGTGACAGCCTACCAAGAGGCCTGCCATGTTTTCAGGAAAATTGCCAGGAGAAAGTCCATGTGGCTTAGCGAATTATTGTTGGGGTTTTTTATTATTTTTTTTTTCCACTTTTTTTCAGGACCTTTTCATCGAAGTTCAAGCGTTCTGTATTGAGTTCAGTCGCATTAGAGAAGCAGCAGGATTGTTTCGACTTCTCAGAACCTTGGACTGTGGTGAAACAAGTCCCGCCGCCACAAAGTAAACGGAATGAAGTCTTGATATCCTACACCACTTGGAAGCGGCTGATTAGCCGATGGGCTTTAAAAAGAACTTACTGACTTTTTGGAACGTTTTCCCTTCTACTTCCGCCAGACAATTCTGAGTTAACCCTTTCACTCCCATGAGTGACCCTAAAAGAATTTTCCTTACAATATCAATACGATATCAAGCAGACAAGTGATAAGAATAAAGAAAAATATCAATTGGGGGATTGGTTGAGCCAATACTAAATTCTCAGAACTTTCATCGTGAAAATCGTATGGCGGATAGTAAGGAGAATTACTAATGAGATCTTGAGAGTGAATGGGTCAAGGCATGAGCAAACGGCAATAATGATTATCATTTTACCCACTCTTCCTGTAATCTTTGATTCAACCGAGAAGAAAAATAGAAGCTAATCTCGTTAGTGCCGACGAATACAAGTATTTGTTTCTCTCTAGCGCGCACACAAACGACTTGAGCGCAGTGAAATGGAAAGAAGTTGAAGTCTTGATATTTTTCATTGACCGTAACAATAACGGTCAATGACTGGTCGTTATTTATCCCATGGAGGGGTCGGAGGATTTCGTTTGTGTCACGATAAAATTACCTGATCCCTCCCCTAAGGCTTTGCAATATTTTTATAATCTCCTTATCATTGGCATTTAATTTGAAACGGAAAGAAGTTGAAGTCTTGATATTTTTCATTGACCTTAACAATAACGGTCAATGACTGGTCGTTATTTATCCCATGGAGAGGTCGGAGGATTTCGTTTGTGTCACGATAAAATTACCTGATCCCTCCCCTAAGGCTTTGCAATATTTTTATAATCTCCTTATCATTTGCATTTAATTTGCAGTCAACCTTCTTTCGTAATTCCTCAATACTCTGTTGGTGACGACTGATGCCCTCTCCTTCCCCCTGAAAACCATGTGATCACCAAAAATTCGTCCAGGCAATGATAAGGACTGGTACCTATTGACTCTTGGTTAAGTTCGAGCACTCTTGCCAGAAAATTAAAAACGAAATGACTTCAACAAATTTTAAGAGGTCCTATCGTTTCTGTTAAGCAAGGTGAGCTTTAAAAGTCAAGATTCAGTCGAGATTTCGAGCGTCATTAAGTTACTCATTTACATTTAAAGCGCTAGTGGCAAGTCACGGTTTTCAATTGTTCCCTGTTATTTAGCTTACTGTAACCGTATGCCTTTTTAGTATTGATACATGTCCAGCGTAACGTTGGCTTTTTCTTGCTTTGAAATTTAGCCTACAGTCTGAATGTCCTCGGCGGCTGTCTTAAGTTTCTTTCTCACCCGAACCTTTGTGAGATTTCTATTTCCGGAGCACGTCTCACGTAAAAGGCAAGGCTGTATGTGGGTCCTTTACACCAAAAAAATAAGAAATAAAAGAGAAGGAAGCCCTTGTTCTGAGTTCTCATCGGGTTATTTTATTACTTTAAGTAGATCTCTCTTTAAGATCATTCGACTTCTGTGAATGAAAATATGCTCCTCGGACAACCAAGCTTAGGGCAGGATCAAGCCTGTTGTCGAGCGTTACTCTATTCGGAGGAAAGTGGGAAAATATTTTAAAACGCGGATGGTGGAATTTCCTAAATCACAGGATGAAACAATACCCTTAACCGCGGAATGAAAGAATATCCTAAAACGCGGAACGACAGCCATCAACGAAAATATCTGTTGACGGTCAGTAGTTTAGAGAAGGCTGGAGGTAGTTGTAGGGGTTTGACAGATACTTAAAAAGAGTTGCTTCTAAGAGGCAGTATAAATCAATTCACAGAAAAATAGCCACGTTGTTTAGGGAAATTGTTATTCTTCAGGTCCGCAAATTTCTCAGATCGATCTTGTTTATGGTGATTTTCGTTTGAGAACGTACACGAAGACAGCACGATTAGTCATCAATAAGAAAAGACAAAATGATTCGTGTCGGAAGGTTATCGCATTTCATGATGCCCATAATCAAAAAGAGGCGTTCACCCGTCAAGTGAAGATCCTCAGAAGGGAGAGGGGGCAAGGGTTGATTCATCACAAAATCATCGGAAGGAGTGTTCCGTCCAGAGTCAAACCAAAAACAGGACACTTTCCACACCTGTCTTCACCTTCAGCCTCTAAAATTCATACCCATTTTTAAATCAAGCTTTTAAGAGTCGCACTTTGCTTACGAACCATGAATTATGGTAGATTAATTAATTTAAGTTACTTTCTCCGTTATCCATTCGAGACAAATGCATTTGAGATCTCGCATGGTCGATTCAAAATCACGATAAGCAGTCTTTTCAAACCAAAAGGGCTCAAGATAATAACTCTTAACCCTTTTACACCCAGAAGAGATCAACATGTGACTTCTTCCTTCAGTATCCATACTTTATCCAGCAAACAGGTATGAGAATACTCAAACTTATCAGGCATAAGTTGTTGATGTGACGCCAAATTCTTGTGATTCATTTATAAAGAAGTGAGTAGGAGAGGGCATTAGGGTCTATTAGAAACCGCAAAACCGTAGAAAAATCACCCAAAGCCGCAGAACCGCAAAAAAAAAAAAAATTCGATTAAAACCGAAAACCACACGCAAACCGTCGAAACAGATAAATTTTCACATCCCTGTTATCAAAATCCTAATCCATCCGATACAGTCAGCGACAAGTGGAGCATACAGAGGTTTCATGGCTACTCAAGATCAGTAGAGGCGCATACTTGCCGCTCAGATCAAGAAGAAACCGGAAACCAAACAGGAAAACCCGAAAACCACGTCGGATACCAAATCCGAAAACCCAATAGCATTTTTTACTAAAACCGAGAACCAAATGCTAAGAAATGGAAAATCGGCAAACTGCAATGAACACCAACCGAGATTTGGCTCAAAAACTGACAAATCGGTCTAAAAAATAACCAAAATTTCAATGTCCTCCTCTTATAGCCACCAGTGAGGAGGATTCACAAACAGATCTTGGGTTAAAGCGGCGCATGCCTATGTAGCTTATACACAGGGGAATTCCAAATGAAGCTACAAGACACTCGAAAAGGTAGAGTGGATTTAATGGGTTTCCCATCACCGCTTGAAGGCACGGCCATATTTACATTCAGGTAAAAATATCCAAAACGGCCGGAAAATGTTCATTAAATTCACTATCAGTAAGAAATTTTTTTTGTACCTGTTAAACTACACCCTGTAAATAAAGACAAAATCACAGAATTCCTGTTTGTGCGAAAGTAATAATTTATGAGACTACAAATTAACAAAGTATTTGCGACAGCAATTTTTTTTCAGTTAAAATATCCTCAGGCTCATGTGATATATAGGGGTAGTAGGGTAAGTCTCTGTTGCAAGAGTCAAATGGAAAAAATTGCACTAGATTTTACTTTCTATCATTTGTTTCTCGAATTTCGTTCTATCATTATTCAAACGTAGTTTTTATTTCTCTCAAATGTAAGCAAAACGATCTTTAAGTGCACGCGCTGCATAAAAAGATTTAATCAGAAGACTTTAAGTCAGTGTTACAACAGGTTCCAGGTTGAAAGAAGACGTTGCCAACATCTTTTTCAATCTCATCGGCTCTACATGCAAAAGCCTCCGTGAAGCGATGTAAGTTCGTCTTTTAATTGTAAATGTGGGACTCGAAAGCAAAATCATGAGGTCGGCTGCTAAGATCCATCTTAAAATAATCACCCGTGCGGTGAATAATTGATGCAATGTGGGCAGTCTAATGGGTAACATTGGCTTGTTATTTTACGAAAGCGTGGCCTCCTGGTAAACCACGGGTTAAACAATGTCGGATCTACGTGCGCCTTTAGGAAACTGATCACGTGTCTTTGTAAAAAGGGGAAACACTTTTAACGTAGCTGGAGCGAAACATGTAGAAGGAAACACGGAAACTGCAACAGTTATATTGTCACACCGATACTACAGAAAATTGTGTTTGCGATGTCGCTCTGTGATTCTTTCGTGCATTTCATTTTGATGAAATATGGAACCGCTGGTACTTGTTATAAAATTTAAATAAATCTTGTCATGTTTCTCACGAAATCAATGAATAAATGTAAAATAGCTTGGCTCATGTCAAAGCCAAGCAAGTTATAAAAAAAGTATTTAGTGATTAAAAGATTTTCTTTTTGTTTTTCCCTTTTTTGTGATCTACCCGACTTAAAGAAGTGTAGTGAGATGCATTCATCTTGATAGAAATACGTTTTTTCTACTTCGGGCGGTCAATTCCTACGATTTTTCAATGTTTTATTCAAGACGAAAGATAACCTTTGTAGATAAGCAAGCCACTCCGATATTTGTGACTTTCCTTGCTTTTAGTGGTGAGAGACTTAAAACCAGACCAGAACCAACACTTTAACCGCGATGCTTTGAAGACGGATAGTAGGTAGGTGCCCCGTTGTTTGATGATCCATCTAACAAACCTGAAATGTGAGTTTTCAAAGTCGAAAACTTAAAACTTGTAATTTTAAATTATACTTCAACGAAATTCAATCAACGCGGAAGTCGGATTTTCCACGCTTTCAACGCAAATGAGATTCAACAATTATCAGTGCAGAATAAAAGTTTCGTAAACGCTTAAATTGCCGACTGTTGTTTAGTGCGGTTGGAAGCTCAAACCGCGTCGATGGAAAAAATAAAAATTTTTAAGGTGAGGAAGGAACAAGTAGGTTTTAGAAATCCGATGAACTGTGTTAGGATTTCTATTTCAGTAATTTCATTTGTAAATAATATTTAGACAACCTGTAAAGCTATTGTCCTGCAAAGCTATTGTTTGTTCCGGAACATTTACTTCACTTCCGTTTCCAAGTGCCCGGATGAGCATGTTGTTGAGATTAACCTAGAAAATTGTGATTACTCGTAATTGAACTCATGGGTCTGCAGAGTGGCGATTGTCTGCTGTAGAATGCCTCCCTCGCCAATAAGTATACCCAGGAAACTAGATTCTTTTGTGTAAGAATCTAGTGTACATTATACCGGCCTTCGAACAAACGATCGAGCAAACATGGGTTGAAATGAAATGATTTTAACAGCATGGTAGCCATTCGGAGGGTGAAACGTTTGGTGCAGTTCTCGGTGCTCGCTGTTTTCCTCGCTACGATACTACTGTTTCTTCAATGGAACGAGATATCGGACTCGGAGAAGCACAATACTGCCAAAAGAGGTAAGGAAATTCCTTAAAAGTTTCCTATTTACGCCTGACTGGATGTTTGAATGTTGTTTTCCAACCACTTGTGCTGTTCATTTACGCTTACATTCTTGTGTCAATATCGTACCTTAGATCGCGAAAAAATTGAAGAGTTTGTCTGGTTAATGATTTGTTTTCTTTGATTTTGATTTTCAGCAAAAACGTCCTTTAATGTGGAGAAGCAAGACCTATCGAAGACCTTCTTCAGCCCTGATCGGGAATTTGATGTTAATGAAATATTTAAGGTAAATACAA